CTTTTGTTAAAAAGGACGGCTTCATTCGGTTCTGTGTGGGTTATTGACGTTTAAACAAGATCACCCGTAAGGACGTTTACCCGTTACCGCGAATAGACGAAGCCCTTGACTGTTTGCAGGGAGCAGAATACTTCTCTTCGCTAGATTTACGGTCTATATACTGGAAGCATCTCTATGGAAGTCCCAATGAAAGCATCTGACCAACCGAAAACAGCATTTGTCACATCTGATGAATTATACGAATTTACCGTTATGCCTGTCGGCCTTTGCAATGCTCCAGCCACTTTTGAAAGAATGATGGACACTATTTTACGAAGCCTCAAGTAGAACACATGTTTTCGCTACCTCGATGACGTAGTTTCCTTTTCCACCGATTTCGACACCCATATAAATCGTCTCGAGCACGTTCTCACACGCTTCACCGACGCTGGCCTTATACTCAACCTCAAGAAGTGTCGTTTTGGTGCCTGGCAGCTCACCATCCTTGGCCATGTCGTATCGCGGGACGGCATACTTCCAAACCCCGCCAAGCTTCGAGCAGTCGCTGATTTTTCGAAGCCAAAGAACATAAAGGAACTTAGAAGCTTTGTCGGCTTGTGGTCATACTTCCAACGCTTTATTCCAAATTTACTTCCGTATGCACGCCCTTTACGGACCTTCTTAGCGGCAACAAGGACCTTTCCACTTCGTCACCAGCATGCGACGATGCGTTCACCAAATTACGCCACCTGCTAACTTCACCACCAATCCTCCACCACTACGATCCTGCCGCTTCCACGGAGGTTCATACTGATGCCAGCGGTGTTGAACTTGGCGCTGTGCTCGCGCAATGAAAGGCACTATTTGAATATTATGTCATCGCCTACGCAAGCCGAACTTTCACGAAAGCTGAGGCTAACTACTCCGTGACTGAGACAGACTGTTCAGCTAATATTTAGGCCCTTGGAAAATTTCTCCCCTAACTGTATGGTCACGCATTCGACGTAGTCACTGACCATCAAGCCCTTTGTTGGCTATCCACACCTAAAGAGCGTTCCGGACGACTTGCTCGCTGGACGCTCAATTTTCAGGCATACGACATCCGCGTTATTTACAGATCCGGTCGTAAGCACACGGACGCCGACGCCCTTTCTCGCTCACCTATATCGGATGAAGGTGCTCGCCTCTCTTCCTTCGAGCCTGCACTTGCGTCATCCACCTTGCGCAACATGACGGTGGAACAATGAAGGATCCCTGGATCAGTGGCCTCATAAGCATTCTTTCTGATGCTCTCACTCCTTCACCGTCTCGCGCTCTCCTCCGCCAGGCTAGCAACTTGCGCATAAAGGACGATCTTCTTTATCGACGCAACTACCTTTCCTATGGTCGCAAGCGTCTCCTTGTGATACCCCGCCATCTTTGAGCTGTTATCTGCGAAGCTTTTCACGCATAACCACAGTTTTCGCACGCAGGCCTCTTCTAGACATACGCTAGTCTTCGACTCAAATTTTATTGGCGTGGCATGTATAACTACGTGCGGAAATTCATTCGTTCGTGTGCTCAGTGCCAACGACGAAAGTTACCTCCCGGCCAAGTCTACCCGTCGCAACCTCTGCCTTGTCCTAGTCGACCTTGTGATCACGTCGGCATTGACATTTACGGACTACTATTATCAACTGTAGCTAGCAATCGCTGGATTATTGTTGCGATAGACCATCTGACACGCTATGCCGAAAGAGCCGCGCTGCCGATTGCCACAGCCCGTGATGTTGGAACGTTTCTCTTGCGACGTTTCATTCTGCGCCATAGTGCCCCTCGCAAGCTCTTAAGTGACAGAGGCCGTGCCTTCCTTTTTGACGCCTTGAAGGCATTACTCAACGAATGCGAAATCGTGCACCGCACAAGTACAGTGTGCCACCCTCAAACGAATGGCATGACGGAGCGCTTCAACCGTACTCTTGGCAATATGCTGTCGATGTACGTCGCCTCTGATCGTTCTAATTGAGACCAAGTTCTCCCATTCATCACTTACGCGTGTAATACTACCGTACAAGCTACTACTGGGTTTTCGCCGTACTTTCTTCTTTACGGACGAGAACCTTCCAATACAGTAGACACTATTCTTCTATACAAACCTGATGAGCCCGAAAGTAAAACTGTCCGAAGCTGCCCGACATGCTGAACAATGCCGCCTGCTTGCCCCATCTTTTTCTACCGAGGACCAGTGGCAGCAGCAATCCCGCCAGACTGGGGACCGTTCGGCTCCAAACTTTCCACCTGGTTCATTGGTATGGCTTCGGGCACCCGCTACCACACCTGGCCGCTCCGCAAAACTTCTTCCCAAATACATCGGGCCATACCGCGTTGTAGAGCAAACGTCCCTCGTCAACTATATTGTGGAGTCCATTATCCTATCCACAGACCCACGCTACCGCGGTCGCGGCACTGTCCACGTCCCTCGCCTCAAGCCATACTATGACCCACTAGTCATTTCTTCTCCCTAATCTGCCAAGATGGCGCCTTTTTCTGCAGAGGGCGGTTGTAGGGAAGAAGAGGGGCCTCAGCGGCATTTTTCGGCGCCTCAGAGGCATCGCCATTAGCATAAGCTCGTTCTTGCTGCGATAGGCCGAACGCTGCTGACTGCTTCGCCTTCTGCGTTCTGCTCTGCGAATAAATCCCGTTACAGTACGTTAGGTAGTACGGCTGGAAGATTACATTTACAAAATAAGTCCCCATGCAGGAGCAATATAACCCAGCTGTGAATGCCTTATCACGAAAAAAAAAACATAGGAACGATGCTAGCAAATCTACCAAGAGTGGGCCACGTTTTTTCAGTAACAAGGTTCCGCTGCCCAGCGAGTCGACAATAATTTAGTCATCATTGTAAAATTGTTATCAGTTACAGAACGCAACAACAAATTTGCATTACGCAAAGGCACGCTGTAAAGACGTCTGACTCTGTAGTTTCGCGGACAAACTGCGCAACCTGTTGAAGCAGGTTTGAGTAGTGCAAAGCCCCTTGCACAGTTTCCTGCCAAACCACGTGCAACTGCCGCGTACGAAAAAATATTTGCAGACCCCACGTATAGTCGGAATCGATGGTATGTGAAGCATGAATGAGGAACGTTAGTAGGTCTCTCTCAAATCAGCACGTTACGACGCGGTGGTAAAATACTGGCAGACCCCACGTACAGTGGGAATCGATAATATGTGAAGCACAAATGAGAAATGTTGATATGTCACTTTAAAATCAGCACAACGTTACGAGGTGGAGATAAATGATGCCGTACATGACTTGTGTGTCATGATTATCATGCTTGAATGTGTCGTTCATCTTCGTAATCCATTCACGTCACGTGATACCAAATTTTGTATATGTGCAGCTAGCGAAACAGCCGCGAGGACGCTATGAGCATGGTATGTTTTGATGTGCTTACATGACACACGTGTCAGGATTATCATGTTTGCACCAGTCATATACCTTCGTCATCAATTGACGTCACGTGACACCTAATTTGATATACGCGGAGCTAGTGAAACGGCCACGAGTGTATCATGAAGGGCCCAATATACTCCTATGTAGCGTTGACGCACGCGCACGCTGGGCACAGCGACGCTACGTTAGCAAAACGCGAGCACTCTTAGTCTGACGCCAGGCACGACCAGCGTCCCTCGGCGTGGCCCGACAGCAACCGGTGCGAAATGCAACATGCTGCATTTCGCGCCGATGCGTTACCCACGCAACACTGCGTCTCCCTCTTTTCATGACGGAGGGACGCCGGACTTGCATGCGTAAAAGCTCGTTCGGATGCGTAATTCGAGTCCCGTAATACCAAACTTGGTATAACTGAAGCTAGCGAAACGGCCGCTAGCGCATCATGTAGTCGTGTTGTTACAATTCCCGAATCTCATGATTATCATGATTATCATGTTTGCACCCGTCACATACCTTCGTCATTCATTCACGTACCGTAATACCAAGTTTGGTATATGTGATGCTACCGAAACGGCCGCGATCGCATCATGAGCATGGCATGTAGTCATGTTGTTACATGACACGCATGTAATGATTTTCATGTTGGGGTCTGTCACTTGTTTTCGCCATGCAATAATGCCATACCATACCAGTTTTGCAAAACGCCATGTGAACGAAACCCCCGCAGGAGATGCAGGACCATGAAATGTAAATTATGATATTCATGTGATACATATCATGATTTTCATGTTACGGCTAGTCAAATATGTTCTTCATACAGTCATGTTATGCCATACCATGTTTTGTAGATAGATAGATAGATAGATAGATAGATAGATAGATAGATAGATAGATAGATAGATAGATAGATAGATAGATAGATAGATAGATAGATAGATAGATAGATAGATAGATAGATAGATAGATACCCTCAAAGTCACAGAAGTTCGCTAAGAAAGGCGCCGTACATGACTTGCTCGTCGTGATTATCATGTTTGAACGTGTCATTTACTTTCGTCGTCAATTTACGTCACGTGATACCAAATTGTGTATGTGTGGAGCTATCTAATTGGCGGCAAGTGCACTATGAGCGTAGCATGTAGTCATGTTGCACATGGCACACATGTCCTGAATAGAGTGTATGAAACTGTCGTTTACCTATGTTATTCATTCGCGTCACGTGATACCCAATTTGGTATATGTAAGGCTAGCAAAACGGCCGCAAGCGCATCATGAGCGTAATATATTATATAGGGGTACGACGCCGCATCTGCGATGGGTGACTCACGACCACTGCTGTTACAGGTTGCGGTCATCTGGGCTGCTTGCTCCTGGGTCCCCGGATCCTGCGAACTGGCTGGCACCGACCGCCTGCCTCTTCCTTGGCCTACCGAAACCCTTCTGAGGCCTAACTTGGATGAAATCGGTGCCTCAATCTGGCAACGCGGAACTTCCGTATCGCCTCATGACGTCAACTGGGGAGTATATAAGCGCCATCCTTCAGCCGCCTACTTTGAGTACGACGCCGCATCTGCGATGGGTGACTCACGACCACTGCGGTTACAGGTTGCGGTCATCTGGGCTGCTTGCTCCTGGGTCCCCGGATCCTGCGAACTGGCTGGCACCGACCGCCTGCCTCTTCCTTGGCCTACCGAAACCCTTCTGAGGCCTAACTTGGATGAAATCGGCGCCTCAATCTGGCAACGCGGAACTTCCGTATCGCCTCATGACGTCTACTGGGGAGTATATAAGCGCCATCCTTCAGCCGCCTACTTTGGGTACGACGCCGCATCTGCGATGGGTGACTCACGACCACTGCTGTTACAGGTTAGTTATATGAGGGTGCTGCCTGTACCAAGTGTAGTCATTCCTGTCTCATTGCAGTGTCGTGCCCACCAGAGTTTTGCGATGTGCTGAAGCGAGTGTTTTGTTTGCCGTATAAGGTGGGCTCTGATGCCTTGAGGACATTGCTTATGCTTTCTGGTGACGTCGAGTCGAATCCGGGACCAATGAGCAAAACTGAAGCTGATTCGTTTGCTTCGGCATTAGAAACAATAAAAAAACTTGAAGCTGATCACACCGCGATGTCGGCTGACCTGAAACGACTAAGTGGCGAGCACGAGACTACTAAAAATGAGATCAAATTACTCAATGCTAAAATCGCTGCCCTCGAGGCAACACTTGCTTTGCGAAATAACGCAGAAGGACCCACTGACAATGCTTTGCTGCACGTTTCGGATCGGCTGACGGAAATCGCGTCTAGATGCGACAATGCTGAAAATAGGCAGCGGCGGTCAAACCTTCTCTTCTTTGGAATTGAGGATAGCGAACCAGAGGATTGGGCCCAGTCCGAGGAAAAAATAATTAACTTTTGCTCTGAACGACTCGACATAACAACTAGTGCACAGTTTGAACGGGTTCACAGGCTTGGCAGGTTCACCGAGGGAAAAAACAGACCAATAATTGCAAAACTAACCTTCTTCAAAGATAAACAGCAGATTTTGTCTTCTGCACGCAAACTAAAAGGTTCAACATTTTCAGTCGGCGAAGATTTTTCGCCGGCGACGCGACAGGCCAGGCGCAAATTAGTGAGCTTTGCCAAAGCCCAAAATAAGGCTTTCAAAGTGTCAGTTGACAGGTTGCACATTGATAAAAAAACATACGTCTATGACATCAACATGAACGCAGTTGTGCTATCAAGCAGATAGCTAAAGTCGAACAAGTCCTTGCAAGATCCCAATGTGACTTCACTTCATACCATTCCTACACTATCGCTGTCATCTACTCATATCTGCAGCCTGGTGCAGAAACGGGATTTAGTCTGCTCATTTCTAGATGACAGCGACTGCTACATACTTGCCCTTACTGAAACGTGGCTAAACCCAGATATCTCCGATATCGAAATTTTTCCTGATCGCAACAACTTCCACATATATCGAAATGACCGTAAAAATAAGCGTGGCGGAGGTGTACTTCTTGCAGTAAGGAAGACTGTGCAATCATATGCTATCAATGTTCACTCTGATTTAGAAATGATCTGAGTTGCCTGTGTTACAAAGTTCACCACACTACTTATCGGATATTGCTACCGGCCCCCTGATTGTTCCCATTCATTTGTAGACGACTTGCGCAGTAGCATAACCCAGGCCACTAATTTATGTCGCACCGACGCCATCTACATTTTCGGCGACTTTAACTTTCCCGGAATAGATTGGATCCAACTGTCTTCCTCTTGCCGCAATTCCACGGAATTTATAAACCTTGCGTTAGATTTTAACCTATCTCAAATAGTAAACCAGCCTACGCGCGGCTCTAACATCCTTGACCTAATTCTTACGACAGTTCCTGAAACAGTAGGTACCGTTCTTAACATAGATGGTTTTAGCGACCACAGCCTCCTCCAAGTAACTCTTAACATTCCGCTACCTTTCTCCGGCACCGACCACAAAAATATTCGCGACTATAGTAAGGCCAATTACAGCCAATTTAATGCCGGACTCGAAATTTTTTACAACGACACATTCCTACCCCTTTTCGACCGTCGTTCAGTAAATGATAACTGGGTGCTGTACCGAGATAAACTATGCACACTAACTAATCAGTATGTCCCCCTCGTAAAAGTGAAAAACGATAAAACAAACCCATGGTTTACGAAATCTCTCGGGCGACTCAGAAATAAAAAGAAACGTTTATACCGCACAGCTAAACGCCATGACACGCCCTCCGCGTGGCAGACATACAAGAATTTTATGAAAAGCTATTGCGCGTCAGTACAATCTGCTAAACTTAAATATTATTCTGTCGATCTACCTTCCCTCTTGAAATTAAATTCCAAGAAGTTCTGGTCACTTGTTTCTCCTCAACAACATGGCCAACAAATATCTTTGCTAGATGATGACCATGTCCCTCTTTCAGATAGTCATTGCTCATCAGCATTTAACGCATTTTTTTCATCCGTTTTCACCCTGGAAGACCATTCCGACGTACCATACGTTTCCGAACTAGACATTTCATGCATGAAACCTATAGAAATAACTGCCGAGGGTATTGCTCTACTAGTTAATAACCTCAAGCTTTCCACTTCAGCCGGCATCGACGACATTAATTCTAAAATTCTCAAAAACACCGCCTCCGTTTTTGTTAACATTTTGTATCTCCTTTTCAGGCAATCTTTAGCGACAGGTCAACTCCCTTCTGACTGGAAAATTGGTAAAATAGTGCCTGTGTTTAAAACCGGTAATAAGCATTTACCCGAAAGTTACCGTCCAATTTCTCTTACATGTATATGCTGCAAACTTCTTGAGCACATAATCGCTTCCCATGTTTTCCGACACTTAGAACCAAATAATTTCTTCTTTCTGAACCAACACGGATTCAGAAAGGGTTTTTCTTGCGAAACACAGCTGCTAGAACTAACAACCGAGCTGCATTCCAATATGAACAGTAACCTTCAGACTGATTGTATCTTCCTCGATTTTTCTAAAGCCTTCGATCGCGTAGCCCATTGCCGTCTGATTTCTAAATTATCTGCCCTCCGATTAGACTCTCTTACGCTATCTTGGCTTCGCAACTTTCTTTCACTTCGTCAGCAGTTTACTATAATTAACAATTCCCCTTCCCCTCTTTCCCACGTAACTTCTGGCGTTCCACAAGGATGCGTCCTCGGCCCCCTACTGTTTTTAATCGATATAAATGATCTGTCAAATAACATATCTTCCTGCATGCGTATTTTCGCAGATGATTGCAGAATTTACTGTCCTATATCATCCCCCGACGACCACTTAACTCTACAAAGCGACCTTCACCGCATCAATGACTGGTGTAACAAATGGTTAATGTCCCTGAACACGGAAAAATGTAAAATAATCTCCTTTACGCGCAAACAAAACGTTTGCACTTTCCACTACACTATCAATAATTCTGCACTATCACAGGCATCATCCTATAAGTATCTTGGTGTCCATTTCACACCCAATCTCTCCTGGTCTCACCGCATCACCACCATTAGCGCGAAATCCTCCAAGTCCTTAGGATATCTACGCCGTAATTTACATAGCTGTCCCGCTCACGTCCGTCAACTAGCCTATCAAACCTTTGTCCGTTCCCAGCTTGAATTTGCCACTCCTATCTGGTCCCCTTATCGCAACTACTTAATTAACATGCTTGAAGCTATTCAGAATAGGGCGGCCCGTTTCATTTCACGCAATCATGACTATCACAGCAGCATAACGCAAATTAAAAACAATCTTTCTCTTCAACCCCTGAGCACTCGTCGCGACATTTCCCTTCTTTGCCTCTTTCACAAATACGTGTACACCAACAGACCCCTCCCACTCCACCTCGATGTTCCTTCCATTACTTCACGTAGGTTGCATAATCACTTCAGTTTCAAGCGATTATACGGGGCAACTGATTCATTCAACTCATCTGCTCTTCCTCGCGCCATACGTTTGTGGAATGGTCTTCCAGATAACATCGCATCTGTATCAGACAATAATTCTTTCCGTCAGTTGCTGCTTACTCTCTTCTCACAATAGACTTGCCACTGTTCTGCACGTGTCGGATTTTGTGCCCGATTATGTTTGTTGCACACTGGAAATGTTTTCTGTATATGGGCATAGGTTCTGCGTTTTTTGGTGCTTTTTCTATTGTATGTTCTGCAACTTATAAACAAATAACGGCACGTCGTTGAGGTAAAGCCAGCTGGCTATCTTTGGTTGATGTCGCCTTCATATGCTATAATGACTGTATTCAGTTCCCACTGTCGTGTGTGCACTATGAAATCGCCTTTTCTTTTTTCTTGTTATCGCCTGTTAACTTCAACTTATATTGCAATTCGCGTCATACTTTCATTGTGCTGATACGCTTTGTAACGCGTGAATTATTTTGTGTGATCTGTAAAACTTCACCAATTACCCCCCTTACTCAATGCCCTCTAAAGGTCCTGTAAGGATTTTTCAATAAATAAATAAATAAATATATTGTCATGTTCTTACATCACAAGGATCTCATCGTTATGATTTTTGCAGCAGTCATATACCTTCGTCATTCATTGACGTAAAGTAACATAAAATTTGGTATATTTAAAGCTAGTGAAAGGACCGCGAGCGCAGTGTGATCATAGCATGTTGTCATGTTACATGACACGCTTGTCATAAATTATATGTTTGGACGTGTCATTTATTATCGTTGACCGTCACGTCACGTAATAACAAATTTGGGATATGGTATGCTAGCTAAGCTGCCATGAACACGTCACGAGCAGGGCTTGTAGTCATGTTACTACATGACATGCATCTCCTGATTATCACGCTTGCACCTGTCACATACCTTTGTCATCCATTTACTTCTCGTCATACCAAATTTCGTATATTTGAAGTTAGCGAAATAGCCGTGAGTGTATCTTGAGTGTGGCATGCAGTGATGTCCTAACATGAGGCGCATCTCATGACTATCATGGTTGAACCAGTCACATACCTTCGTAATGAATCCACGTCCCGTAATACCAAATTTCGCGTATATGTGAAGACAGCGAAAGGAGTGCTAGCTCACCATCAGCGTAGCATGTACTCATGACTCATAACTTGCATGACATGCATGTAATGATTTCAACGTTAGGATCTGTTACTTGTCTTCGCCATGAAGTCATGTCAAATCATACCAGTTTTTCAGAATACCATGTGAACTAAACGACTGCAAGAGCAGCAAGACCCTGAAATGTAAATCATGACGTTCATTACCTCAATATCACGATAATATAGTTATGACCAGTCGATGATGCCTGCCAAACAGTCATCCTAGGCCATACCAAATTTCGTATCAATACCATTAACGAAACGGCCAAGAATGCTAAAAGTCGTAGGTGGACAGACAAATAGATATAGATAGATAATTTGATTGATTGATTGATTGATAGATAGATAGATAGATACAATCGAAGTCGCCGAAGTTTGCAAAGAAATGCTTCGTATTTAAAATGTTTGAGCTAAATAGGTGGATTCCTGCAATGAACACTTGAAGAAAGAGGTACGAATTTCTACCCGGTTATCGGACGCCCGCGGAACCGCCATGAAGTGCTTGCTGGTTCACTCGCCAGAACGACGGCGTGAATAAGAGCCGACGCAACAGCTCCGAGCTCTACGTAAAAAAAAAAATGGAAACCCAGTCGACTGTTGCGTTGTTATTTGCCATGGATGTGAAGGACTTCAGTCGGGTTAATTTCCGCAGCTTTCGCAAAGCATAAAGGTGAGAGTACAGGATTCAGGCTGTCGAGAACGTGTTGGCTAAGCGAATTTCTCGCGTTCTCCCATGCCGGTCACATGAGAAAGTGTAATAATGAAGGCGTCCTGTTATTGTTCTGAGTAGCCTGGACGAATAACCGCGGTGACTTTAATTATGAAGCCTAACAGAGCTTCTGACCGTGGTGCACGCCGTGCAACTGTACACAGGTGACGTGCGCGATCAACATCGCACACACTGCGACCGCCGAAAATCTGAAATTCTTGCCACCACACAGCACTACGCATGAAGGCACCAAGTAGCGGCTTTAACCAGGAAACGCGAACTGGTACGTCATACAGGTAAATTGCAAAATGATCGCGACCCCAATCAGGTTTTTCTTGCCTTTGGTCTCCGTGATCGCCAGAATACTCTGAGAGGCCTCGACTTTGCCTTTTGTTTTTCATTGAGCACGTAGACACGCATGTTTTACCATTAGTAGTATATACAAAAGCTAGACAACCGTCAAAAGAACATTCTAGCAATAGTTAAATTCACAGGAGGTGATATATCAATGGAGAATGCAACTACGAAGACAAATATCATCAGGGTCATCTGTGCTGGAGAAACCGAGCTTCGTACCACTGATCGTAAGATACATTGCTCGTCTATGTACTTCATCGCTTTGACATCATCTGTATACCCACCTTTGACGGATCTGGGCGTTGAAGAACGCTAGTCAGAGTGCTTGCCTCGAACTCGATGTCACGCGATGATCTCTTGCATTTAATCAGCAGCACATTGAAATACTAAAACATTTTTTGCGTTGTACCTGCAGTTCACTTTGATGAGCTTCAAAATTTTCTGAAGTGAGGTTGGATTGACGAAAGAAGCCTGCCAGGTCCTTGATTTTCAAAAAGCAGTGCCTCAAGACAAACAAAACAGGATGGACTCTGCACGTTCACTTGTGCTCAGCTCTTTTTGCACAACCCATTTATGACCAGCGCGTTGATGGGGGTGCTGATGGCGGCGTCTTCCGCAGCGCCGCCTGGGTAGAGTCTGACGTCTATGTTCGTTGTTTGGGAGAAGTAAGACGAATGCCACCTTTGGTCATTTCTACCTGCTTGCGCTCGCGTGTTCTGCATACTATGCACGACAGGCCCAAAGGAGGCCTCATCGGCTACCGAGTAATTATCAAGGATGAATGGATAGCTACTATGAGCGTCTTCTCTATAACGCGGCGGCTGGAAGTGTCGCCAGGCTTGACAAACGAGCAAAAATAAAGATTTTACCTTTTTATGGGCAAAGCTCCTAAAGCCATGGGTCTGTCGCTCCTAGCTCGTACCTGACCGCCTAGTTGGATGACTCACTCAGCAGGTGTGGACGGTTGGACCAACCGACAAATGAACAGACAGACAGACAGACAGACGATTGGACAGATGGACGAGCAAACAGACAGAAAGACGGGCGGATCGCCGGACGGATGGATGGATGGATGGAGAGAGACAGACAGACAGACTACACAAACCTTCAATATTTTGCCTATTTTCATTGTAACGTGCATAAATTACCAATCACTTTATGTCCAATATCTCTTCATAAAAACCTTGAACGGCACTTTGTCTAAAGGAACAGTAAATTTATTCCGTTTTGTTTTGTTGAATAGTGTCGTTGTAGTCGCAGTACAACGGAGGCTTGTACAGCGAAATTCCTCTGTTGCTCACACTATTTTTATTGCTACTGGGTACCGCTTCCGACCAGGCGTTAAAATCAGATGTTATTGAAAAGACATCATTGAAAATGGAAAAAGAATATAGCTAGGAAACCAAAGCCGCATTTTTTTTACTTCTCGTGGTGCACACATTGATTGATATTTCTTGCGTTAAAGAACAGGCATGGTTGAGTTATTGAGCTTTGACACATGTTTGGCTCTTGCACTTGGGCAGCTGACCTGGCACATGGTTATGTGTTTCTATGTTCTATTTGTACGAATCAATGGCGTAGCAAGCAATATCTCTTGGGAAAAGGGTGGGGGGGGGGGGTGTTCAACCATAACAAACAACCTTTTAATGTATGTGCTGTATTTCACATGTTCGCGTTTTAATACGACCATCTATGCATTCTTGCGTACATGCACGTTTCACATAGCCCGAACCTGCTTGTTTTCCTAAAGCTTGGTTTGGTTGTTCATTGGAATTGTGAGCTGCATAGAGACTGTATATTGAAGTTATGTTTCACGCGTAGTAGCAACAGTACACTCATTGGGCCCAACTGCATTGCGTTGAGTTTTCTCTAAACTCTCTCTAATAGTGATCTGACGTAAGCAGGGCGAAAATGAACAAAAAAAAAAACAGGAAAACTTACCTTGTCGTTGATACAGGCGATCATCTAACGAAGGTATGCTTCACCGTATATTTCGGCTAGGGTATATAGCAAAGATTCACTGGAGAAAAAGCCGCTCAGAAGTACGGTGGATGCAGTGCATCGAAGGTTTGGTATTACGTTTCTTCTCCGCTTGTTTGTCAAGCTTTCGCGCCACACTCTAACCGATGTTGTGTGCGAGCTTCATCGAAACACTTGAACACGCTGGCGCCCGCACGAAGTCTTGGAGCACTCGCAGGACGAGTATCCTCACACCCGAAGGCAGGTAATCCACTGGCTCATGCATAGAACCCAACACATCACGGCACTGGTGAGCGCTTCTCTTGACACCAGGCCCACCTCTCCGGACACCACAGTACCCATTGCCGCACCGTTCGAAGACAGCTCGGAAGTAAACGCTTATCGTCACTGTCAAAAGAACGCGGTTAGGGCAGCCTAATTGATCGAGAACTGCCGTCAAAGCGAGACGGGTTCCGCAATGGACGCGATGTTTTCGCAGAAGCTTCACTCGAGGGACGATTCAAGGTAGCTCGATCGTTTCCTTGACAATCCTTGACGCTCGAGATTTTCTCAAGTAAAGCAAGCGTTTCAAGTGAAGGGCGGTTTATGATTGGAAACGCCACTCAAAAAGCATTTCAGGTGAAGGGTCGAGTCGAGCAGTGTTTATGAATACGGAGGTCACATCTCATGGTGGGGAAGATCGTATGTCTTTGCTGGCTTTGGGCTTCTAGGAACAATTTTGTTGCAGCTACCGGGCGCACAAATGTCACTGCAATCGTTGCACGGTCTCCGTTTGCGAAAAGAACAGGCTTTTCAGGCACAGTGAAATACCTAATAAGACGCTTATTTGCGTTCATATGTGCCTGTGAGTAGTTTTCGTGCATCATTTGTGCGTGAGAAACGCAGGGCACGTTTTCAACTGCCTGCCATTGTGCACGTGACCTTCCAATTTCTGGCTATCGCGTTTATTGCTTCACCTTAGCGACAAAGCTGTGACTTTTTTTTTTAGTGGACTGGGCCTATATAACGATCGGTTTTAAGCGAACCGGCACGCCGCACTAAGAGAAACCTCCTTCTTTCGTTTCTATTTCCTTCTGATGTCTTTCTTCCTGGGTATTCTAGCACCCACCTTGCTGAAGTCCCTGCCCTTTTTTTACTACTTTCTACTTTCAGTGCGTGAATTTGTTTTGCATTACCTGGTCTACAGTGTAATTTTGATGAATAGGAGAGTTTTCCAAGGCACTCCTGTCCAGGACACCAAGGCGAACGAAGAGTTCTGAAGCCTTTTCTCCCCTGCAAAAGAGTAAAAAAAAACATCTTTCAGTCATTCCGTGCAAGTAGGACATGGAAAAAAATACATTACACTTCCGTTGCGTGGCTAGTTGGAAGCTAGTTTGCGGGCCGCATTCGGGAGTGAAGCGCTTTTCTTGTTCGTCAAAACGAAGACAGAAGGACGAGAAGAAGGCACAACACGCGCCATATCCACAACTGGTGTTTTCATTAGAAAAGAAGCACCTCTTATATGCAGCAAGAACTGTCACAGAAAAATCACCTAAATGTACAGAAGTTTTATAAAGCGAACCATGCCTAATTGAAATCAAAGAGAGTTGGATAACTTGCAGAAAAATGCAAAAAAACAATGCATGGTAAGTTAGCATAGTCAGTTGACAAGTGTCGCCTACAGACATTCAAATTTTTCGTTACGAGGGACACCTTGCTGACGCATTTGCTTTATTCATTTATCTCACCATTTCATCACAAAAGCTGGAAAGAATAACAGCATTATTTAAAGAAAGATTATATCCCCAAGGAAGAAAATAATTGATCTATCTACAGGAAACGACAGAAGAGCAGTTGTTGCAGTCTCGTGTTGATGCATCTCCCGTTGTGTGCGACATGCACTTTGTTGAAAACTAAGCTGTGTGTCTACTTTGAGGCAGACTCTTCTGTCTTCTTTCCTTCTATCTTCGTCGATGCTGCCTTGCTGCCACTGTGAACCTATACCAACTTTCCCGACTTACGAACGTGGCTGGTTAACGAACCAGAAGAACATTTTGGACACTGCTTTACCTTCGACTTTAAGAGTAAATTTTACTAACATAATCGGGCTTCGTGAACCTCACCTTCTCAGTGGGCAGTCTACATTCACTCCTCGGTGCATGCTCCAACCGTGCCGGGAGGAAATGAATCACTCTGCGCGTACTACTGGCCGTTTCAGAGTATCTTAGAGTGCCTACAGCAAGCACAGATTCTAGGTGTTCACTACGCCATAATTGTTCCTTATCGGAACCTGCGAAGGGCCGGAACCTCTATACGTTCATAAGGCAGCACGTAAACCCATGGAGCTCTCGACTTCATTGACGCTTTTGCTGCAAATGAAGATCAAATATGTCTGAGTGATTTTTCTGAGGTGGGCCTTTAGAACACCTACTAATTGCGTGATTCGCGTGCTTTGACATTTGTGGTGACGCTTTTGCCTCGGAATATTACATGCGTTAGGGAGGCTGCTTCCGCTACGTGGCATGAAATTTTTTTTTCTATTTTGCTGAAGCGGTTTCAAGAAAACATTCTGGCTTTATGGTAGAACGCTAGTTGTCAGAAAGATGGCATGCATTCGAGTGTCACTGGGACCTCAGTGTACAGTACCTGTTGTTTATTTTATCTGCACCTTTATCGATTTTTAGGTCATGGACAAGATGCTCATTTTCGCCCACAAGCAAGCACGCCGTCTACAAAGACGACGCATATGACAGTGTCAGGATTTCAGTTAAAGAAGCTCTTCCTTAATATATCTTTCATACTTTACTCATCAGCGCAGCGTCTTTTCTGTCTTCTTTTCTTCTGTCTTTGTTGGTGCTGCCTTGCTGCCACCGTCAACCCATAACAATTTTCTCGACTATTATTGTGAGCAGAAAATAATGCCTGATATAGTATTGGGGATTTTATTAGATGTAAATGCAATATAAATGTTCAGAAAAAAAAGTGGACGAATATGTAACTTGCCGCCGTGAAGAACCAAACTTGTGACCTTCGATTAACGTTTCGGATCTGTTTAGTTTCTTACTGTCTGCTGCTTCAGCGTATACTATAGTGTCAGTCATGTCAGGCGAGATTGAGAGCGCGCCTTTTTGAACAAAGTTACCCTCCATGTGATGTAGCCAACTAACCGTCAATTCTTCATGCTCTCTCACAGACAGGTAAGTTTCACTTCTACCTAAACCCGCTGGACTCGCATCAAACTGGAAAAATGCCCCTTCGGCTTCGAAGAACTCCAGTTCCTGGGACACGTGATCAGTAGCGAAGGTGTGAAGCCTGACTCAGATAAAACAGCAGCCGTCGCAAAGTTCGCAAGACCTGTTGATAAGAAAGCGGTCAGGCGTTTTTTTTTTGGGGTCTCTGCGCCTGCTACCGGCGATTTATAGCAGGCTTTGCACAAATCGCCTCTCCACTCACCCACCTTACAAAGGAAGACATCGCATTTGTATGGGGTGAAGAACAAGAAGCTTCATTCAACGAGCTGCGACAGCGTCTACAAACTCCACCTGTCCTCTCTCACTTCGACGAGAATGCACAAACAGCCATCCATACAGACGCCAGCAATGTGGGCCTAGGTGCTGTTCTTGCCCATGCCAAGATGGTGTGGAGAGAGTGGTTGCCTACGCTAGCAAAACGTTGACACGCGCCGAGTCCAACTACTCAACAACGGAGAAGGAGTGTCTGGCCGTCGTTTGGGCAGTTGCGAAGTTCCGCCCGTACTTATATGGCCGCGCTTTTCAAGTCGTAAGCGACCATCACTCTCTTTGTTGGTTGACCAACATGAAAGACCCATCTGGACGTTTAGCACGATGGAGCTTACGGCTCCAAGAGTACGACATGGCCGTAGTTTACAAGTCCGGAAAGCAACACTTAGACGCCGACTGTTTGTCAAGGTCACCGATTAAATCACCGGCTATAGAGGATGATGATTTCCCAGGTTTTTTAGGAGTTGTTGATGCAGCTATCATTTCTCGGCAACAACAAGATGATCGGGAGCTCAACTCGCTTATAGAATTCTTGAACGGACGAGCAGCCAAAGCACCAAGAGTGTTTTCAAAGAACTTTTGGTCATTCTGTTCACGGGACGGAATTCTGTTCAAAAAGAACTTTTCATCAACAGGTAGAAGCTATCTGCTGGTAGTTCCTGTAGCTCTCCGCAGCGAAATTTTACAAGCCTGCCATGACGAAGCCACTGCGGGCCACCTCGGTTTCACAAGAACACTGACACACACCAAAGAAAAATATTACTGGCCAGGAATCGCAGCAGAGGTGAAACATTACTTCCGAACATGCATTGACTGTCAGCGGCACAAGGTACTACCTGTCAAGCCCGCTGGGCTATTATATCTTGTGACCGTGCCAGTAACTCCGTTTTCTCAAATTGGAATGGATCTGTTGGGCCCATTCCTACATCGAACAGCGGCAACAAATGGGTTATAGTGGCGACGGACTACCTTACCCGATACTCGGAGACCAAGGCAATTGCAAGTGGTACTGCAGCTGAAGCGGCCCAGTTCTTCATTGAGAACATTGTTCTGAGACATGGTGCTCCAGCTGTCGTCATAACAGACAAAGGTACCGCAATTACAGCCGAGCTTTTGCGCACTGTGCTTACGCTCAGTGGCACAGCGCATAGGAAGATGACAGCTTACCACCCACAAACTAATGGGCTTACAGAAAGACTTACCAAGACAATCGCTGACATGCTTTGCATGTACGTCGACGTAGAACACAAGAATTGGGACCGAGTATTGCCGTACATCACATTCGCGTATAATACGGCGCGCCAGGAAACAACCAAAATGACGCCGTTCGCACTAATTCATGGCAGAGAAGTTACGACAATGCTTGACGCCATGCTGCCTTACGATTGCAATGATTCAGAGACAGACGCCGCAGACTTCACTGAGCGCGCCGAAGAAGCAAGGCAGCTTGCCCGCGTCAAAATAATGAACCAGCAGCAACTTGACGCCCAACGGTACAACCTTCGCCATCGATTTGTCATTTATCAACCAGGAGATAGAGTCTGGGTTTGGTTTCCTGTACGACGACGAGGCCTCTCAGAGAAACTTCTACGCCGATACTTCGGACCCTACAAGGTTCTGCGTCGTCTTAGCGACGTGACGTACGAAGTCGTGCCCGACGCCTCCTCCTGTTCAAAACGTCGCCAGCATCTGCCTGAGACAGTGCACGTGGTCCGCGTGAAACTTTACCACTCTCAGTGATGTAAACACTCGATGGCCGCATCTCTACCTGTTGAGCGTCGGGACGACGCTCACTCTGGCGGGAGGGTAATGCCGCGCGCATAGCTGCATTTAGCGGCGAAATAGCGACGACAACGAAGAACGCAGATTTGCTCGAGAGGCGCAGCGCAGCAGAGTGAAGAAGACGACAATCTTAGCGGCCTTCTCTGAGAGCGTCTCTACAAGCCACACCGTCCGTGTTTTTAAATAAACCCCCTGTCATTTATAACCCGCGACAATATATATATATATATATATATATATATATATATATATATATATATATATATATATATATATATATATATATATATATATATATATATATATATATATATATATTTATACATATATAGACGTTGCGAGGAAGGAAACGCACTGGCTCCGTAGTATAAACGGAAGCGAAAAAGCACGACTAACGAGGAAACACTTTTATTACTCACATACGTTTCGGCTGGTGGGCCAGCCTTAGTCAGTGAGTATATATATAGTGAGTAAGTATATATATATTTATATATATATATATATATATATATATATTGGTACTGCAATTTCGTGATGACCATAATGTGTTTTGTTAAAACGTATGTGTCGACATCTGTTATGTTTGTTGAATTTGAATTTCGTGTCCCCTCATTCAAAAGCAGAATGAAATTTGTATCCTTTGTTCCACTTCACCTGAGCAAATGTATGGGTGGAGGGACCTTAGTCAGGCAGAGGTAATCTGCCTTTAGTCCCTTCAACCTAGGCAATCAATGTTTTTGTCTAAATAAACAGTGAATGAATTAATGAATTTCCCGACGTACAATAATGAACGAGAAATTGGGTAAATAGAAACAAACGATCGAAGATTTGTTAGAGCATGGCTACTCTAGATGGCATATCTTGTACACATTGCGTTGGTCAAATATTTCGATTTCAACATATCAATTTTATTCAGAATGAACAAGCTATCACACGTGGTTGTATATCTGTGTGATATTTATGCACATTGTAATACCGGTTAGCAATTAC